GACAAAGGACAAGTAGGAGGCAGTAGAAGAAGCTGGCAATGGGTGATTAGGGTTGAACCAGGACATTGTATTTCCAGAGGTGTAAGTAAGAGGACAGATAGAAAATATTTATTAAGGGGTCAAAATACTCAGAACTTGTTTGTTAATTCACTTCATGGGGTGGAGCAACTCTCCAAAAACAATCATGAATCCATTGGAAACCAAACAGATCTAACTGTAGAATCCAGTCTGGGTAAGCATGCAGTTAGTACACAAGGACAGTGATGAGGAGCCAACAGGAACTTTGAAGTAAGAGTGTAGTGTTTGAACTATCTAGTCAACTCATCAGAGTGGAGATGAAGCAAAGACACCTGGAAGGTATAAAGTGAGTCTTTCTTGACAGTATAAACACTTACAGATTCTAGCAGCATAGTTTATATCAGGCTGATACTACTAAAATAACTTTACAAAAATATTGATGACATAGCCTCCACCCCCCCCCCCTTTTTTTTTAAACTCACCCGAGGGTATTTTTCCATTGCTTTTTAGAGAGAGTGGAAGGGAGGGAGGGAGACAGAGAGACAGAGAGAGAAATACATCCATCAGTTGCCTCCCACACTTCCCCAACCGGGGCAGGGATCAAACCTACAGCCCAGGTTCGTACCCTTGATGGGAATCAAACTTGAGACCCTTCACTCCTCAAGCTGGTGCTCTAATTGCTGAGCCAAACTGGCCAGGGCTATTAAATAACTTGCTTTGTTCTGATGACATGCCTATCTAGTAATGAGGATTTCTTGCTTGAGGGCCTGGGAATGATTATTCCTTTATCAGTGAGGGGGAGGAAGAGACTAGTGACTGTGTCACATGAAGAGAGAGAATGGGTTCAATTTTGGACATGTAAAATTTGAGTCACCTGTAAAATATCCAGATGGAAAGTAAACAACTGGAAATGGGAGCTGGAGGGTGGAAAGAAATTAGGGACAGATTTGCATATATGGTAGCTGAAGTCATATGAATGGATACAATTTCCCCAAAAAAGGACATAGATTTCAAAGAGAAGTGGGATAATGACAGAATCTTGGGAGATTCTGACAAGAGAAGAGGACCCAGCAGAAAATACTGATAAAGAGTGATCAGAGAAATAGAAGTGGAATTATGATTTTTTTATGCTTTCCTTTTCCCATGCAAGTTCCTTCCCTTAACTTCCTACATAAACCTGCCTCTTGGTCAGAATCAATTTTGTCTTACTATGTAGTATTTTGGATAACTATTACCACAACTATAACATTATCATGGTTATTTGTGTGCTTTTCTTAAAATTCTTATTAAATAGTAAATGTCTTGACAGCACTGTTAATAACTGTGAAGGTCTAAAATTTTACCTACTCACAAGCTTACAAGTTAGCCTGACTCTGTTTCATGGATTCTGGCAGAAGATAGGAGACTTTTGGATCCGAGACAAAGGATTTATTATTACTTGTGGCATATCAGGCAGTATGGACTTCATATTCATATCAGTTTCGTGTCCTCCAAGTACCATGGGTTCTCAGAGTGAGCCAGGTGGATGCTGTGCACACAATGGTTTCGTTTGTTTGTTTTGTTTTGTTTTCACACAGTGATTTGTGTTATAGTGAAGAAACTCTGGGATTAGGGAACCAAATCTTTAACAAGCAAACCAGACCTACCTATTCCCCAGAAGGAGATGGTATTTTTATTATACTAAACCTTACCAAAACTGCCCTCTATCCAAAGGGAGACATTATCTCTACCTTCTAAGGCTGTTCACTGTACAAACATCCTCAAAAAGATGATCCAGAACAGGCCTGCCAATGTCTCTGCTCACCAGATGTGCAAAAACACTAGAGGCCTGTGAAGATTTGTCTCCCTATAGACATACTTAATGTCTTGTATATTTTTATGTACCCTTTGCGTGTGATAGGTGCTAATAAGTATTTGTTGAAATAGTGATTTAGAAATAATATCAATCACAGAAATAGTTTAGAAGACACTCCCTAGAATTATTTATAATAGGCCAGTATAAAGATTGCTTTCAACTTCCTCTATATGCTATTTAGATAAACAGTTTAGTTATAACTATAACAGCTTTGAGAACAACAATGTGTATTAAACAGTTTTTGCTTCCTAGAGTCTAAAGCAGAGCCTAACACGTAATAAGAGATAAACAAAGATTTGTTAAATAAATGGAAATATGTGGCGGATCCCAGAGATCTAAATGGTACAGGATTATGAAGCAGACTGTTTGCCCTTCATCAGCACCCCCACCACTCCTTGGTAACAACGCTAGCAGATTTTATATTCTCCAAACCATCTGAAGAAAGGAAGCTAAAAACACCATTTCCTGTTAAATGCTTGGTGGATTACAAGAGCAGTCTGGATGTTAAACATATGTGAAATGGGCTTGCTCATATCTTGTTGGTAGGAATGTAAATTGGTATAATTTTTACTTATGCTTTTGGCCATTTTCAATAAATAAACTATAAGAAATAAACAGAAAAGAAGTTTTATGCAAACTCTATTAAACCTAGAAATGTAGTTGTAAGATCATACAATTTAAAGATTCTTATTGAACTTAAGAAGGAGTTGTACCATGAAATTTTACCATGAAGGTGAATCTCTAGATAGACCATGAAAGAAATTGCCAGGTTTTCCTCCTTGGAAATCTTCAAGAAGAATACATTATCACATTTCTAGACAATTTAAACACTGGTATGATGTGTCTTTCCCAAGGTCTTTCTATTTTATTTAGACTGGATTATCTGATCTATACATCTCTACAAGGAAAGATAACGTTTTCAGTTGCTTCTCATGTTATTGGGGGTGGATCATGTAGTACAATGATCCTCATCCAGAAGGAAGGAGTTGAATTCCCTGGGAATGCATATTCAACCTTAAAACATTTTACTCTTTTAATACAGAAAGAAAGTATTGACTTCGAAATTGATTCAAAGTCTAGAAAGTTGCTTCTTAAATTTTATTTTAATGTATAATCATCCAATAGTATTTGTATTTACTCAAAGACACTGAGGAAGGCAAACGGAATCTTCTCAATTTATGTCCTATGATTCTACCTCCCAAAAGTGTCTCCAGTTCAGATCAAATCAGGAAGCCGTAGGCAGAGGACAAGCATACTTACTTCATCTTATTTCATATAAAACATAAAATCCTGATAAAATCTACTAGTACTTTCAGGATTTTGTTAAATTAAGTGTTGCTCCTGAATTGTGCAATGTCAAAAAGAAAATTCCGTATCTGGAGGAAAGATGACAATAATTGAACAAAGCACTTGACCTTTTCATTGTAGTCATATACTTGAGAAAGTATACATTCTATTTGTTCAATGTAGTGTGTTATACCCATCCATTTGTGTAAGCTTATTAATTTTATTGTTGAAATATTTTCTACCCTACTCCCTTTCTTTTTTTGTTTGATATGTCTGTTTCTGATAGACATTTGTAAAAATTGCCTACTATGAGTCTAGATTTATCAATTTCTACTTGCAACTACATTTTTTTTTTTTGTCAACTCACAGAAGTTTATGATTGTCATATTTTTTTGGTGGCTTGTTCCCTTTACTATTATGTTGCCCATCTTTATCTCTATTTCTCTTACGCTCTATTTTCTCTGCTTTTATATCCCACACCAGCTTTCTTTTGGGTAGTATTAGGTTAATATATCTTTTCCATTATTGTCCTTTATATACTTCTAGCTGTGATGTTTTAGGGGTGTCTCTCAAAAAATATATAGCTGGATTTTCAAAAAGCACAATCCAGCCTGAGAAACAGGAGTGCTGTCTTGTTGTGGAAGACAGCCAGGTTTACCTAAGCCATTCCCACTGATTTACTGCCTTCATCTCCTTTGTCTCTTTGGTATAAATTTCTCAGCAAGAAATGCAAGATGCCTCTGTCCAACGATTCCAAGGAAACTGAGACTTAAGTTTACAGAGTAGAATGTCAAGATGCCCAAAGCAGGCAATTACTCCAATACTTCATTTGGTTTTCTTGTGTGACTCTGGAAATTAGGATAGAAATATTCTGCAAGTGCACTAAAAGAACAATTTAATAAATTCTACTTGGATTTCTATTATTTTTCTCTTACATTTTTATAGAAGATAAATCTTGGGAAGGAATTTTGTCATAATCTTTGCAGATAAATGATTTCATACCCCCCACATTTTAAACTTTTTAAAGGTAGACATATCTTGTACATGTTTGTATATCTAGTGTATACAATTGAAGCTCAAAAGTCAACCTGAACTAAAAATTTTAATTTTATTGAGGAAGGGAAAAAATAAAAAGCAACAATGGAAATTTGCAAGATACATTTTTTCTATGTGACATAAATTATTGTAAAAGAATAGCAATGTTGCTAGAATTTTATTGTATTTTATTACTGATCTATCATGACCTCAGTGACAATTTTTAAAAATATGACCAAATATTATAAAGTATTATTAAAATGTTTCAAAATAATGTGATAAAAAAATTTTAACTAAAAAGGCAAACTATCTCCCTGTATCAATCACTACACTGTAAGCTCCTTGAAGGAACTACCATGTATTCTCATTTTTGTGACACCACAGTATTGTAACAGGCACATAGTAGGCTTTCAATAAATGTTTGAATGAATAAATGGATGGATGTCATACAGATCAATACTACATAATCTTACCTGCACTGAAAACTGCAAATTCATATAATTTCTTTCCTTATCTTCAAATATAGGTTGAAAGTTTACCATTTCTGCAAAAGATTTCTGACATCTCAAAGAAAGAATTAATCATTCCATTTTTTGTGTGTGTTTCCACTTCATCCATTCTTCTAGGATAGCACTATTATATCACATTACAGGTAGCTATTTACATATCTGTCCTCATTTTGGCTTATGGGAGATTGTTTCTTAATCACTTTTTAAATCTGTTTCGCAGTCGCTGCATGTTATGTCATAGAAGGGTCAGCAAACCTTTCTTGAATTGGATTTGAAAAGAGTGTAAATTAAGTGCCATACTTACCTGGCAGGGGAGATACCATGATCACGAAAGTGGTTTTCCCAGGGCGAGGCTCATCCATTGCACTCCGGGTGTGTTGACCCCTGCAATTTCCTCAAATGTAGGAAACTCAACTGAGTAATTTGTGGTTGTGGGGGACTATGTTCACGCTCTCCCCTGAAAAAAAAATTAAGTGCCAATACTTGTTGAACATCTACAATGTTTTAGATCCCAAACAAGGAAATTTAAAAAAGTTCTGCTCTTGGTTCTTATAATAATCTTATAAAGTATTATTATAAATCCCTTTCAATGTATGAGAAAACCATAGGCAGGGAGAGTAAGCCTGTCTCCTAGGTCAGACATTCAGTAATGGAAGAAGTGAGACTAACTCATGTGTCCTTTCACTTAGCCTGCTCCCCCTTAGGTTACCCCCCAGAGCCAACTGAACTCATGATGAAGTCTACACATGTTTTACTCCACCCACCAATAGCCTCAAAGCATATCATGTTAACATAGGATATTACTTGTCACTGGAGTGTTTTTAGGATCATACTGTTTACCTTAGAATTACTCCATTGTTTTTACTTGAGACATGTTCACCTTTGGAACGAGTATACCTCCCAGGATCCAAACACTTAGAAAACAGGACCATGCCTGTTATACTAAGTGATCCCCCATAGTTGTCCAGAGCAATCCTGGATGTGATACTTGAGCTACAAATCTTCCCTCTAGGTGTTTATAATCTATGAGAGAATTAAAGGCAAACTGAAGGCTGATAATGAACATTAATGTACATGATGATGACGATAAAGGATATTCTTTTTTATTTTTAATAAGCATCTTTTTTTAAAATTTTATTTTTGTTACAGATGTTTCTCCTTTTTTACCCCATTGACACCCTCCCCCCCATCCCCCCCGCCCTGTCCCTGGCTTTGTTGTCCATGTCCATTGGTTATGCGTACATGCATATAAGTTCTGTGGTAAGGATCTTCTTAACATATTTTGGCTTTGTGGCCCGATACCTGTGCTTAAATCTTTGTTCTAATTCCTTACTAGTTGAAGACTTGGGTAAACTACTTAATCTCCCCAGGCCACAGTTTCCTCAACTATAACCAAGGATGAAGATACCTGCCTTAGGGGGTAAATAAGATAATGCCCATCCTATAAATGGTAGCCATTATTGTTATTATTATTCCAGAAAAGCATGTTATCAAACAACAATGAGTAAGATATATTTGTATATATGGGTTGAATGTCTCTAGCTAACACCTACTATGTATCTCATACCACCTTTTGGCTACTCCCAAATCATACAGAGACGAATGGGTAGAGATTTAATGTCCCAGACAGAGATTAAAGAGATCACAAATGTCATTTCCTTCTATTTCTTTGCAGTAGTTTATAGGGGCATTAGAACAGGATGTGACAAATTTTATTAAGATATTGTACATTAAATATACATACTATTACACTCCATCTCAAATTATGGCAACATCAATTATGAGCATTACCTGTCAGTCACTATCACTGGTACACTCTCTATAAACAAGCTCAAAAGTCCTTTTGTGATCTATTAGAGGTTTTCTGTATCCTTCCTCCACTCTGTTCTGATCCTTTTAGGCTTTTATGAGCAAACTGTTGATCATGACTAAAAGCAGCTAAGTGCATTCTTTCTTGGTGCTTAGCAGTTTCTCTGGAAGTCAGCAGACAATAATGTAGCCCTTAATACAGACTCAGATCAAATATAGAGAGTGAGGGAAAGAGCATGATATAAAGTTGAGGAAACATGGCCTTTCAAGAGGACAGATGAAGACAAATATTTTCAGTAACCTTTAAGTCAAGTGGCTGGGAAAATTTTTCTTTACAAATTTTCTATGTAAATTAATTCTGAACTGTTGGTTCTATAGGAAAAAGTACTGAAACTAAAATGGAATAAGCTAGTTGTTTAAATGACAGGAATAGAAATATGTCTATTTTATTTTTGTTTTACTATATATTTCTTAAATTTCACCTGAGGATGTTTACCGATTTTTTTTTTTTTTTTAGAGAGAGAGGAACATCTATCGGTTGCCTCCCACACATAACCCTGACTAGGGGATTGAACTTGCAACCTTGGGTATGTGCCCTGACAGGAAATCAAACTTGCCACTTTTCAGCATACCAGATGACATTCCAATCAACTGAGCCACACTGGCCAAGACAGAAATAGAAATTTGTAAGTTGCATATACCAGCTATCAGCTTGTAAGATGATAGAAAAATTCTTCTAAATCCTGAGATAAAAATTAGAGTAAATTCTGAAATGAACCCCTCACTGTTCATTGTAGAAGAAAGATTCCTTTAATAGAGAGGAGCCCTGTCTATTGTAAGTACCCTATCAGACAGGAACAGCTGGACAGTATCCTTGCCTTTTCTATGATGATCACCCACTTTGACATTGTAGTCACTATAGAAGCTTGGGTTAAGTTCTAAAGAGACACATTAGTTCTCTCCTTAGATCAGTCCATTACTTTTCCCCTGCCACCTAGTAAAATGGTATTGCTCATTCTACTAATAATTTAACTTTGAGTGTACAATTGCACAATTAGGAACACAAGGATATATCATATCAATTTTAATATTTTTAAAAATATTTTTTCTTTATTGATTTTAAAGAGAGAGGAAGGGAGCAGGAGAGAGAGATAGAAACATCAATGAGAGAGAACGTCGATTGGCCACCTCCCGCATGCCCCCCACTGGGGATTGGGCCCACAACCTGGGCATGTGCCCTGACTGGGAATCAAACCAGCAACCTCTTGGTGCATAGGATGATGCAAACCACTTAGCCACACCTGCTGGGCTCAATGTTAATATTTTTGAAGTAAACTTTATGTAGCTGATTGATTTGATCAATAGTATATATTAGAAAAATACAAATTATAGTAAGTTCTCAATTGATGATTTTGTTTTACTATTAAAATATTTTTATTTTTTATTAAAAAATTTTTTTTTCTTTATTGATTTTAGAGAAAGAGGAAGTGAGAGGGAGAGAGAGATAGAAACATCGATGAGAGAGAACATCGATTGGCCGCCTCCTGCATGCTCCCTACTGGGGACCTGGCCTGCAACCTGGGCATGTGTCCTGACTGGGAATTGAACTGGCGACCTCTTGGTGCATGGATCGATGCTCAACCATTGAGCCACACTGGCTGGACTGTTTTACTATTAAAATATTTTTAAATTGCTTGTGTAGAACTTGTACATTTCTCACAGAAACAAGATGTGGTTAAGGTGCAAAATATATTTAATGGATATATAATCTGCATGTCCTTGGGCTCACCACATATTGGGTACAAATTATGGCACATCTAGTCTGACAACTTCTAGATCATGTTCTTGCCCTTACCTGCTCAGACAGGATATTTACCTTCCCAAAGACACCTCCCCAGAATTATTTCTGGAAGTCCTCAAGGTCTTCAACATCCATGAGATGTTGATATTGCTATTCTTATTATGTTAATGCCTATCACAGGAAAAATCAAGTATGTTGGCTTATTTTAACTACTTGGATTTGGGGGATGGGAGAAAGAAAATATAGAAGCAAGATAAAAGAGGTTAAATAAAAACACTATAATCCTGATTTTGATAGGAAGTATCCACATGAACTCAAAAATACATATTTTTCTAATTCTGTCTTCTGAAAAGTTTGAGAAACAAGGATCATTGCAGTCAGCATCGTTGACACTCAGATTGTGGTCTCAAAATACCATTTCCCATGAGAAGGAACCATATATCCTTGAAGAAGTGGGTGATTACAGGTCTGGGACAGAAATTTTACAAAATAAACTTGAGACATCTTGTCATATTAGAAAGCAAGGATGCAATCCAAGATTCAAAAGGATGTCTGAAGGACTCAGGAGCCAATCTGGTAAGCTTTCACTTACCAGTGTGAGCAACAGTTTTTGAATTGGACTGAAATTCAACAAATAAATTCATGAACAAAGTCACTGGTCACCCTTACCAGGTACCAGAGAGCCAAATTGATAGTTTTTAAATTGGTAAATAAAGACAAAAAAATCAAGCATATTGCCTGTTTTTAGTACAAACCACATCTTAGAGTAACTAAATAGCTGATGAAGTAAAGCATCCTTTATTAGAAATATTCCAATGAACAAGGTCTTTTAATATCAATAATCTCAAGGCAACCCTCTATATGCCTGTTTCTTTCTTGGTCCCAGGAACCGCTCCTCATCTCTTCCCTTTGGGCCCAGAGCTTGTATTAGTTTTATGGCATGGTTCTACTATCCCTTGTAGTTTTTCTCCATCTTATCCACATCTTTGTGAATAGTTTCTTTTTATTCTTTTTTTTTTTTTGGCCCATGCTCCTAGCGGGAACCGAACCTGAGACTCTCTGGTCCGCAGGCCGACGCTCTAACCGCTGAGCCAAACTGGCCAGGGTGTGAATAGTTTCTTTATTAAACTCTTTTAGAATTATTCAAATTCATGTGTACCATCTGTTTCTTGCGTGGACTTTGACTGTAATTCATCCCATAACTGACCCCCAAAAAACATCTCCTCAAAATAAAAATTTGGAATTGGTTTCTATAATTTCAGGAGTACAGGAATAAAAACATTTCCAGGGAGAGATAGGATATGAATAATCAATAGCATGTGGGGCCTTGATGATTTTCAAATTCTTACAGGTGATAGAGGATGGAGAGCAATAGAAGACGGTGTTGTAGGACAGCAAATGGCTGTGTCACATAATTGCTATTGCAACAATAGTGAGTATAGATTGTGGAGTTGCTTGGCCTCTTCTGGCCTGGGGGAGCATACTTAGGAAAAAAGAGGAGTTAAAAGCTTTTTTATTTTATTTATTTATTTATTTATTTATTTATTAAATCCTCAACTGAGGACATTTTTGCATTCATCTTCAGATAGAGCGGGAGGGAGAAAGGGAGGGGAAAAGAGAGAGAAACATCGATGTCAGAGAGACACATCGACTGGTTGCCACACACACAACCCCAACCAGGGCTGGGGACAAACTGCAACTGAGGTATGTGCCCCTAGCGGGAACCGAACCCAGGCCTCTCTAGTCCATGGGCTGATGCTCTAACTGCTGAGCCAAACTGGTCAGGGTGAGAAGTAAAAAGCTTTGAAAATTCAATGAAGAAATATATATATGGAGAACCAGAAATCCAC